CTGTCAAGTGCCGCGAAGCGGCACTTGTCAGCCAATCATTTGTCCGGTTGAGCCAAATTGCCGTTATTCACAAATTTTTGTCCAATAATGTATACTTATACCCTGGGTACTAAGTGATAAGTGGAAATTAAATTTCCGTTTATACCAAACTATATAACTACCCAGGATATAACTATTACATAGTTAGGGTAAAAACAAATTTATTGTAAATAAATGAATATAAAAAAAAATAAAAAATAAATTATAATAATTAAGTTTGTCACGATTCTGATTGCTAATTTGTTACGTAATTTCGATCAAAATGCGTTATATTTAAAATTATGGAAGAAAATTCAATGATTTTCTTAATCATATTATATTATTCAAAATTAGCTAAAAAACTTTAAGTGTCCACCTTTGAAACTATCAAATCAAGTCCAGGCAAAGGTTCATTGCCACCAAAATATTTTTTTTTAAATGCGTACCCTTCGACTTCCTTAAACTCAAAATTTCTAATTAATATTGATAAAATAACTTTTAATTCCATAAGTACTAATTCATTCCAATACAATTTCTTGGGCCATTTATAAAAGGTAATTTGTGATTTTAGATTTCATTTCAGGATCAAGCCATCGTGATGGTTCAAGTTTGCTCACATTCTCACACCATAATGAGGGATCATGATTAATTCCATAAATTGAGGTAATGAGATAAGTTCCTATCAGTTTAATGATTTATTTATTATTTGTTTATTGATATAAATTATTGCAAAGTTTATTTATCAACTAGGCCAATTATGTCCAAAATTATCTTTGGAAGAATCGTTATTACCGTAACTGTTTCTTCATTTCTATCTCCAATTTGTTTCCGTCTTTGCTTTATTAAATATTCATATAATAATACAAGTACCCCAAATAAAACATAGTCCTATCTTTAAAATTTCATACATGATAAACTTATACTTCACTAAGTTGCTACTAACTTTGAGATTCCCGCTTTATCACCTACACCCATTCATTAACCGCTCGACCAAATCTAACACACCTTTTTCGACCTAACCTAACCTAGTTTTTAAAATAATTGTAATACGTGAATATAAATAAATAGGGTTAGATCGAAGATCAATATAATAATGTGAGAAACATTATTTTAGACCATACAGGTCTTGGCTTTTTGCTTCAGCTTCTTCTTTTTCTCGTGTTAATTGAAGACTCTTTGACGTAAAGATAAGAGTTCGTTTTCTAACACCTGATTTCTTTGGATTCTTAACATTAATTATTGTCTTTCTTTTTCTATTCATAATATCTAAAGTATATACAAATTTAGTATAAACATCTGAAATTTAGTATATACACAGATTATAATTTAATAATACCTTGATTGAAAAGACGGCTAAGTAGGGAACATCAATTGCACTGATGTATGCTACATATTATTTAAAAAAATCGTCAATAAAGTTCAAATACTGCTATTAGCCAGAGTCATCCAAATAATAAATTTTGTATTGCTTTTCGATAAATAAATAAAAGCAAACAAACAAACCTTGTCGTTGGATTTTTTCAAACTGTTTGTTGCCGAAGCAACAAGGTTGACCATAACATTGTCATTTAATCCGCTTATGTCAATCATAATAACAGGAACAGACGTAATGGGTGTAATAGGTGCAACAGGTGAACCGGACATGACAGACGAATAAGGAGCAACAGGTGAAATAGTTGCAAAGGGTGAAATAGGTGCAATAGATGAAACAGTTGCGAAGGGCGAAAAAGATGCAACAGGTGTGACGAGTGAAATTAGTAAATAGTTTATTGAATAGACGATCAACGAAGATCCACTTAAAAATAGGATCAGGTTAAGGAATTAGCGAATTTATGCAATATGCAATAGAAACTTTATGAGGAATAGATTTTTATTGATTGAACGATACTTTTCAGCTGGGCGAAAATGCCCTTTATTTATAGAGAAATTTACATATACCCAATAATACATTACTTATGGCAAAGAAACCTGCTAAACTAACTTACCAGACTAGTCGTATAAGTCTCCAAAGACCCTTAAGTCGACCAAGTCGCTTAAATTTCATTAATGCATTATCTTTAAGAAATGCAATAAGTGTGATAAGTGCGATAAATAGCCGGGAAAACTATAGATGGAATTGATCCACATAGTAGGGATGGCAAAATCATTTAAAAATGATTTACGAATGATTTAAAGCATATGAATTTTTATTATTAAGTAATGTATTACATTTATAGCGCTTTGCAAAAAGATGTGACCCCATGATTTTTGTGATGAGATTCTAAATTATCTATTAATTCATATATTCGATCAGTTATGTTTATAATTATTTGAAATTGGTAATGTTCTTAAAATCTACAGAATCCCCGATTTCACACAACTTTATGATCTGCAGAGGTCACATCTTTTTGCAAAGTGCAATAATTTAAACACCGAGTCTTTGGGTGCAATCTTTTTAAAAAGCATTGTCATTGCGATTCAAAAAATATATTTATATCTTCTAAATACATTATGCAATAAAAGATTTAAATTGATTTGAATAAAAAACAGTGATTTATTTAAATCGTATTCATATGAATGATTTAAAGCATATGATTTTTATTACGTAATGCATTACATTTAATTTAAACACCGAGTTTTTGGATGCAATTTTTTTAAAAACCATTGCCCTTGCGATTTAAAAAATATATTTATATCTTCTAAATACATTACGTAATAAAAGATTTAATAAAAAATCAGTGATTTATAACATTGTGTTTAAATGTGCCATCCCTACTACATATTATAGGTACTCATGATAATAAAACTTGATAAAAATATAAACTATCCACGTGATAGGTTAATACTATTTATATTTTTGAGGCTTAGATTAAAAACGTGAAAACCATCAAATTTACAATGAAATAAAAAACTGAAAAATTTATTTAGCATATTTACAACGAATAAGAATTTGAATTATTATTTCGATTATGAATTTTATTTTGCCAGTATTTTTATATGTTCTCTGGCAATTAGTACATTCATTTGCTAAATGTAATTCCATTATGGTTGGTATTCCTCTTTGACGATGCTTAGAACAATATTTGCATCGGACAAGAATAGTATTTTCCAATTTTTTCATCAATTAGATTTATTAGTTGAAGAAGCTGGTAGCACACAAATTATTATTCGACATATTGTGTTTCAGAATTTATGATTCGACGTCCGATTTAGATAAGTAATTTATTTATTTCAAAAGAAGCGACGTACAACTCTATTTTTTTTTAAAATATGTACTTATTTACATAATCGCTTACCGGTGAATGTTTATCAAAAAAAGCTAATTTTATCACTGGCTACGCCTATTTAATTTTCTGATTCGGAATTCTAAAAAAGAAAATAGGATCTTTTAAACTCCCACTTATTTTTGAAAGAATTGTTAATTGTTTTGATGTTCAAATTTATAATACAGTAGTTTGACTTTTACGTAATTTGATCATAACGATAGTTTAATTTTAATCAATATTTTTAGCCTAGTTATATCCTTTACAATTTTAACTAGATATATGTTAAAATCAGATTTATCGCGTGATAAACCCAAAACATAGTGATGTTAAAACGTTTAGTCGGCATCACTAGTAGCGTTCCCACAAAATTTGTTCACCCTGTAATTTTGACCAATCAAATTTAAGATCAGGTGTCGTGTTGTGTTTTCTAATTAAAAGGTTGCGTGTAAAACCAAACCGCGTTATTGTTAGGGTTAGGGTGTGAACAACGTAGGATTTGGTTGAGGATATTAATAAATTTCATGAGGAACATTTTTAATTAGGCCACAGAAGGTGGTTTCCTAATTAAAATTTAGAGTTATTCTCCGTTTTTGTAAAAAAGTGGCTTCGCTTCGATTTTTACGTTACACCTGATCGCCAATATTACAGGGATGAACAATTTTTTGTGGGCAGCTAGGGCGTTCTACTCAGAGACACGGAAATATTATTTCGATTTAAGGCAAAAATTTCGATTTATTTCGATTTGGCTAGAATTAAGCTTCAAGTCAGTGACTCTGGCTGGAATTAGGAAATCACGTTAATCCCATAATGTTTGTCATGAGCCAATAATATCATTTTTCATGTGATTTATTTTATATGTAGCTTTGTGCAAAAAATTATGAAAAATTTCGATTTTGGCAAAAAATTTTGTTTTCGAAAAATTGCTTTCGAAAAATTTCCGTGTTCCTGGTTCTACTATATACTCTTACACGTGAGATCAGATGCGCCAAAAACTAAAATTTCTGGAAGTCGAAATTTCCGGACTAAAATACTACAGTATAACATTATAATAATTATAATAATATATAATTAACTAGCAATGCTACATGTGGCGGCGACTTCGTCGCCCACTTGCAGTTTTGAATCATCATTTGATTCAACATGTAATATGCTAAATTAATTATAGTCATATTGATATGAGAATTGCTGTAATGCAAAATTAAAAACGTTATACAATGTAAACATTCAAACTTGAACAGCTTATTTTGCACATTCTAATTAATAACATCCTTTAATGAATAAAAGTATTACATAAAGTAAATATTTGCAAACTTAAAAAATATTTTAAACACACCGACTATTATATATATTCGCTAAATTAATACAAATGCAAGAATAAAGCATAGCGTAATACGTACCTCTCTAAATGTAACCTTTAACTTTGACCCAAAACATATACCAGACTTCCATAAATGCAAATTTTCTATTGTTCTCTAAATGCAAGCTGTTAAAAGTCTGATCCTATTAAAATGCATTTAGGGATTCTTGACTGTTATTGCCGAAAAAAAAAAATTCATCTTTAAATAGAATTTTTGCATAAAACAATGTGGCCTTGAATAACAGAAAAACCTAATCTAAAAGCTTTTGGTTAAAGAGCAGTCAATTGTTTTTGGTTGCTATTATTTATCTAAAGTGAAACGCCCCACAAAAACATTAATCAATGAATCTACCCTAACGTAATCTAAAATAACTAACCTTAATATCCCAATTGGATAAAAATCACGAGGGGTAAAATTTTCAGATCACGTGAAAACACATGTATAAATGAGCATAAAGTTACATCCGAAACTAGACGAAGCTGAAGAAATAGAGATCGAGGTTTTGGATGTTTTAGATTTAGAGGGTTTCGGCATTTCGAAAGTTTCGGACTTTGGGGAGGTTTAGGCCGAAACACTGATATTAGACTATTAGCTATATCTACGTTTTTTAATGTCATTAATAACTGTGCTCAACTAAAAACCATCTGCTTATTATTTATTCAGCACATCTAGCATCACACATAAATTATAAACAGATCAGTTTTTTTTAGTTGAGCGCATTATTTAAATTTTTTTTTTTTTTTTACAATATGAAAATTGCATGTTTTTTTGCGCCTTTATTTTTAATCATCATTAAATCTAATATTTATATATACCGTGCGGATAATTTTCAAATACTATCACTCTGAGCTAGCCAAAGTGCTATCACGAGTCTGCCGTACCATCGCCGCAATAGCTAGGGTTAATTAGGGAATATCGAAATTGATGAGATCATGCAAACAAATGTAATATAAAAATTAAACTATTGACATTTATAATTCTGGACATGTCATGATCAATAATGACATGATTGGAATGTTATGAGTTAAAAAAAAAAAATTTGGATTGATTTAAGAATTTGGAATTTAATTTTCTGTGGTCGAGCTTGAGTAACATCTCTAATGACCGAAATTTTTCAATATTAGGCTAATACGCTACACTAAGTGTCCACTTTTGTTTTTGTTACATTGAAGTACAAAATAAGCGAATCAAAAAACACATCTATTATACATGTGTAGACAGTCATAAAGTTACGTTTTTGATTTTTAATACGAGTTGGAACCTTCTAACCGCTAACCGTTTAATTCAGCTGGCATTAAAATAATTTTGGCCCATGAGCAACATAATTCGGCCCAGAACAAACGGAAAATTTTTATGCGGTTAAACGGTTCCAATCCTTAAAGAGAATCAAAATGTAACTATTGTATCATTTGGACTACGTATATACTCCGTTAAACTCCGAATAATAAATAAAAACCTTACACATCATCTCCTAGAGTACGTGTGTTCGAAACTTTGAAATACCATAAAAGCACGTCCATTTTTTAACTTCATTTTTGATGTTTTTAATAAAATGAACATTTATCATAATTCTGAGGTTATTAACTATTTTTATTATTCTACAGGACTTTAGTCCACAAAAAATCCTTGTCAGCAACGTATAACAGTAGTAAATGATTTGAAAGCATATGTACTACTAATTTTCTAGTCAATCTCATTTAGCCCTGTTCTAGATGGCTGATATGCATGGGCTGCGAATAATATATATAGAGACTTAGTATAAATTTTATTGCTGTTTTCAAAATGGTTGAGAATAGCAATATTTTCAAAAAAAAAAAGATTTTTTTTTGCAAATACCTGATTAGTTTATCAGATTTCCAACTATGTAATAGGAATTGTTATATTAAACAATTACTATTGCATAATGTGATCAATGTTCTAAACTAACCAGGTATTCGGTATTCGCAAAAAAAATTTTGGTTTTAAAATATTGTTATTCCCAATCATTTCGGAATTTAGAATATTTTTGTTAAAAGCGGCATATTTCGGAAAACTAGTCATACACATGCTTTTAATTACGTTGCTGATTAAAGTCAGAAGCTTTGGCAACACATCAGACTAAATAATTAACATCTTCTACTTAAATAGGATATTTCTATGTCGAACTTCCAACTTCATGACTTTATTGAAAAATTTAAGAAATGGACAAGTATTCATAATATTTACTCTTTGAAAATTATTGAAAATATTAAAAATAATAAGATATCGGATAAAATATTAGTGGATTCTCTTGAATTGTTAGCTGATTCATCCATATTTAAATATTATAGCATTGAAGTTATCTCTGAGTTAGAATTACATCTTCGCACTTTAGTCTCTCTTATTGAAGTGATTTGCAAACGTGATATTCGGATTCGGCATGATTTGAGAGAAAGAATTTATAATCAGTTAGGAAAATTTGCTGAGATACACTTTCTATCAACTGAAGTCAATGAGCAAGGTTTTAATAAAGTTTTTAAACCACAATATGATGATTTTAATCCACCATCAAAGTCGACAATCTCACCAGAATTGGCTAATTCAAATGATAGTAAAATTTATAAAGATGGAAGACGTAATTACAATATTGATTTCTTGTTGTTACATTTACGAGATACCCTTCATTGTATGAGAGATGATGAGAATAAATTTTTAGAAGTATGGCGTAGAGTAAAAGAACTTCTTTGTATGATATTAGGTATTACTCCAGAACTTATAAAAATGGGAATTTCACACTGTGCTGATTTACCTATAAATAATGGTGGCGTAGAGTCACTGTTCAAACATTTACAAAGGGCTTTCACTTGGAAATATCCAATTTCATCATGGTATTATGACTGGAGAACACTACTTGAATTACATTTTAATATTCAAAATTTTTTTCAAGAATATTCACTCCCTATGAAATATGGTGAAAGTTTATTACTTGAATGCTTATGGCATTGTGTGTCAAAATGTTGGTCAAGCCCAGTATATCAATCTGAATTTCTTACAAATAAGAAGCAATTTGTTAATATTCTTTTAGGAATGGAGCCTCTTGCACTTCCTCATTCCTTATGGTTTGGAGCACTTGACATTGCACAAGAATTAATTGCAAAAACTCAAAAAGATTCAACTTTAGGCATATGTTATTATTTTGCATTAGAATCTTTGCAAAAAGCACCATCATCTTTTATTCGTTTCAAGGTTATAGAAGTCCTAATTAAATTGTCAAAAAGAAATAAGCTATTTTACAAAATTATCAACAGTGATTTAGAAAATTACAAACAGTCTTTCGAATCAGTAAAAGGGTTGAAATCACATCATATGATTGAAGCAATTCGTGAAAAGTCTTTACATGATGAAAAATTAGAAGACACCAACAAAAGCAAAAACAATGTAAATGATTTTAAAAAAAAAAGAAAAACAGATAGTCTAACATCGGATCATGTGATAATTTCAATTGATGATTTTATCTTAGATATTGTCACTACAGAATTATCTTGCCCAGTAACTTTCAAAATTTCAAAAAACTTTCAAATTTTATCATGTTACAAACATTTCATTAGCTCTGAAACATTACAACAAATTATTGATAACAAATCTCAACCAACTTGTCCATTTTGTCGGAAACGAATTGATTTAAGTTCTGTGATTAATTTGCCACAGTCAGCAATTTATCAAGGAATTCGTAATTATTTACCTGAAGACAATAACATTGATATTGTTCAAGACCATGAAAGTAGTGATGAGGAGATTGATATTTCTAAACTTAAATCTCAACAAAATTTTAAAAGAAAAAGATCGAATTCGACAGTAAGAAAATTTTTTAAGCCACCCAAATTTCTTCATCCATCTTTAAGAAAAGCAAACACTGCATACAAATTAGGAGAGCTTGATACTGCTATCAATGCACTTACAGAAATTCTTGAAGAATATCCTACAAGTTATTCATTACAATGTTATCGGGCGAAAGTATACATAAAATGTAATAAATTTCATGATGCAATTAAAGATTTGGATTTAGCTATAAACCAGAAATCAAATAAATTTGATGCTTATTTACTACGTGGGATAACCTATTTTAGAATGAATAAACATAAAGAATCACTTGATGATTTAACGAGATCATTAAAAATTGAACCAAACGATGCATCTGCACTAAATTATCGTGGTATTATCTATTATAAAAGAGAAAAATATCATGAATCACTTGTAGATTTAACAAAATCATTAGAGATTGAACCGAATAATGCAGAAGCATTAAACTATCGTGGCATGATTTACTATATAATGAGGGAATATGATAATTTACTTTTGGATTTAACAAAGTCATTAGAGATCGAACCAAATAATGCAGAAGCATTAAGTTATTGTGGCATGATTTATTATATGAATAAGTAATACGATAAATCACTTTTGGATTTAACAAAATCATTAGAAGCCGAGCCAAATAATGCATCCGTATTAAGATATCGTGGTATGATTTATTATATGAAGAAGGAATATGATAAATCACTTGGAGATTTAACAGAATCATTAAAGATTGAACCCAATAATGCATCTGCATTAAGTTATCGTGGTATGTCTTATTATATGATGAAAGAATATCATAAATCATTTTGGGACCTAACAAAATCTTTAGAAATCGTGCCAAATAATGCACCTGCATTAAGATATCGTGGTGTGAATTATTATATGAATAATAAATATAATGAATCACTTGAAGATCTAACAAAATCGTTAAAGATTGAGCCAAATAATGCATTTGCATTAAGATACCGTGGTATGATTTATTATATGATAAAGGAATATAATAAATCACTTTTAGATTTAACAAAATCATTGGAAATTGAGCCAAATAATGCAGAAGCATTAAGATATCGTGGCGTGAATTCTTATATGAATAAGAAATATAATAAATCACTTAAAGATCTAACAAAATCATTAAATATTGAGTCAAATAATGCATTTGCATTAAGATATCGTGGCATTATTTATCATATGATAAAGGAATATAATAAATCACTTTTAGATTTAACAAGATCATTGGAAATTGAGCCAAATAATGCAGAAGCATTAAATCATCGTGGTATAATTTATTGTATGATGAAGGAATATGATAAATCACTTTTAGATTTAGCAAAGTCTTTAGTGATCGAGCCAAATAATGCATCTACATTAAGTTATCGTGGCATGACCTATTATGTGAGGAAGGAATATGATGAATCTTTTTTGGATTTATCAAAATCATTAGAAATAGAACCAAACAATGCAACTGTATTAAGTTATCGTGGCATGATTTATTATATGATGAAGGAATATTATAAATCAATTTTGGATTTAACAAGATCATTAGAGATTGAGCCGGATAATGCAGGAGCATTAAGTTATCGTGGCATGATTTATTATAAAGCAATGAAATATGATAAATCACTTTTTGATTTAACAAAATCATTAAAGTTCGAGCCAAATAATGCACCAACATTAAGTTATCGTGGCATGGCTTACTATATGAAGAAGGAATATGATAAATCACTTTTGGACCTAACAAAATCATTAGAGATTGAGCCATATAATGTATCTGCATTGAGATATCGTGGCATGGCTTATTATATTATGAAAGAATATAATAAATCACTTTTAGATCTAACAAAATCATTAGAGATTGAACCAAACAATGTATCGACATTAAGTTATCGTTGTATGATTTATTATATGAGAAAAGAATATGATAAAGCACTTTTGGATTTAACAAAATCGTTGAAGATTAAGCCAAATAATGAATTACTTGGATGTTTAATAAAATTAATGAAAATTGAGCAAAATGACGCGTCTGCATTAAGTTATAGTGGTATAATTTGCTATATGATAAAGGAATATGATCAATCACTTTTGGATTTATCAAAATCATTAGAGATCGAGCCAAATAATGTATCGACACTAAGTTATCGTTGTATGATTTATTATATGAGGAAAGATTATGATAAAGCACTTTTGGATTTAAAAAATCGTTAAATATTAAGTCAAGTAATGAATTACTTGGAAGTTTAATAAAATTAATAAAAATTGAGCAAAATGACGCGCCTGCATTAAGTTATCGTGGTATAATTTGTTATATGATGAAAGAATATGATCAATCACTTTTGGATCTAACAAAATCATTAGTGATTGAGCCAGACAATGCAACTGCATTAAGCTATCGCAGTATGATTTATTGTAAGATAAAGGAATATGATAAATCACTTTGGGATTTAACTAAATCGTTAAAAATTGAGCCAAATAATGAATTACTTGAAAGTTTAATAATATTAATAAAAATTGAAGCGAGTGACGCACCTGCATTAAGTTATCGTGGCAAGATTTATTATATGTTGAAGGAATATTATAAATCGCTTTTGGATTTAACAAAATCATTAGAGACTGAGCCAGATAATGCAGGAGCATTAAGTTATCGTGGCAAGGTTTATTATATGTTGAAGGAATATTATAAATCGCTTTTGGATTTAACAAAATCATTAGAGACTGAGCCAGATAATGCA